TGGCAAGTATAAGCCCACAAACGAGCTGCCCCACCTAAGATTCTAACGTGTGCCTTCCTAAAAATTCCAAAATTTTCGAGAAAATCTGCGTGCTCAACTCATCAGTACATACCAAGCCTTGGCCTTTATTGATCTACTGAACTTACGTATAAATTGTGTTACATCAAGTTTCGAACGAGCTCACTTAATAAGCTCTTAAACTAGGCACATTTGTCATAGAAATGCCGCATAGTAGAAGAGACCTAGGATACACTATATGCTTATATCTATAAAGGTTATTTACAGTTTGCACGATCAATATAAGGGTCGTGGTCTCAAGTCCCACATTGGACGATAAATGTAACAATTAATGGTCTATTAGAATCTCGTTTCTTGTTTGATTGTCGGTAAAGGGTCAACGGCCTGACGTTTAACGCAGCTAAGATTCCCACAACTACAACTAGCCATGTTCTAAACGAGCAGGGAACTGGCACTAGTTGTAGGTAGAAAATAGTGCTTTTCCTCATGAATGAAAAAAAAAAACATGCCCAAAATATTCCCCATGGTACTATGTTAATATACCTTGCTGAATAAGAATCAAGTAGAAAATTCTTCAAAATGTGAAAATTAAAACGAATTTTACTTCTGTAGGGACAGCTGTCGATTCAGCCATACATTCCTATGTAAATTTGAATATCAATAGCAGCATAGCCTTTACTCATATAGTCATCAAAATGTGTGGATTTGTGGATTTTGATGAGCTGTCTCTCAGTATGATGTCCATTTTAAAATTGCATTAAATTTTTATGCAAAAATAAGCTATGTAGTACACAGGCCCTTGGTCGTTTAGAACATGGCTAACTCGCACAACTCAAAAGTTACTTTGCCCCACACGCACACGAGACGAATCGTAAATAGGCTCCCCCTTCCCCGTGGAGAATAACCTCGTTACAAGGCATAACCATTTTTCGCAGCCGTTAAATGGGATGAGGGGGGACCGGGATTTTGACAATATAACGGCTGCGATAAGACTGATTACAGTACAGTTAATGTGACATATTTCATTCCTTATTCTCGAATGTGACAGAGCTTATACAAGCCACATGAATTGGATAGATATCATGTATCTTTAAGTGTCTTTTATATGTAGATTAATGGCTACAAGCTCTGGATCATCATTAAGAGAAAACACCAATTACACCCGACTATGCAGACTTGTAATCGACATTGGATCAAGAGTGTTGAGAGGAGTCCTTGATGGCCATCTACATCCACCTGCTGATCTGCAAAGGCACCTCAACTCGCCTGGCATAAACAGTATACTGAAAACACTAAGAAGTAAAAGAGTTCTGAATACACAACAATGGGATAAGTTGTACCCACCAGCACCAGGAGTACCATCGTCGACGACCTTCGACATAACATTGCTCTTCCTTCTACTACGGAATACCTGTGGTTTGACTCCACCTACTACAGGCTGGGATGCTGCCCCACTACCAACTAATAAAAGTACAGTGGCTGATTTGATTCGAGTAAAACGATGTCGAAATGAAATTATTTGTCATAAAAGTGCGGCAGAACTCTCTAATACTGATTTTGAAAACCACTGGGCTGAAATTGGGGCAGCACTGACAAGACTTGGAGGATTGCAGTATGGACCAGAGATCCAGCGTCTGAAAATCGAGTCAGTTGATCCAGAAAATGAAGCCTATTTGAATGTTCTTATTCAGTCATGGGAAGAAGGCGAGGATAAATTATTGGATGCCATTAGAGGAGAATTCAATAAACTAAAAATACAACATTCTGCAATATTCGAAGGTATTCCATATGACTTATCATATATATACCAAGACTTTCATAGAGTAAATGCGCCATAAATAAAAATCTGTATTCTATGTTTTCACATGTGAAAAATAGCGATACGTCCAATTAGCGTATAGAATTTCTCAAAGTGAAATTATAACCAATCATAACACAGAAAAAACGTTATCAACCAAACTTGTTCGTTCTTGCAGTTCCAGTGGAGGTTTTATACGGACACTACAACTATCAATTTTAGTTATTTATTTATCAAGTTTAGTATCATTTTTATTTTTATCTATATAACCTCATTTTGAGTTTGTTTCTCATAATCATTTAACAAGCTTTTAAAAAAGTATGCCGAATGAAAGTCTCGTTGTATATAAACAGATTATTTAATAGAAAAGTGCTTTGTACTGGATTTTATTCACTCGTTTGCATCATAAACTCACTCGTTCGTCGTATGTTACAAACATGACTCGTGAATAGAATTCCCTACACTTTTCATGAAATAMACTATATATATTTAACAAATTAATGATAGTTGACCGCCGTATGCCTTCTTATTTCCTATTTGCTTTGGTGTCATCAAGTCGTCAAAACTGTTTTCTTCCACGAGACGAAGTCAAAACTTTTGACGATGAGATGGCGTCAACCGGGGTAAATAAAAGAACATAAATTTGCCTTTTTTCTGAACACAAAATTTATTCTGCAATTAAACAAAAATCTTAGATAAAAATCATCTTTCGACAGTTTTATGTACTTTCATTTATCACGGCTCTCGCCCAATCAGAAATCGAGAGATTTAACAATTGTAGTAAAAATATATAAAAGACATGTCCTTTGTCTATTAAACATTTTAAAAGGTTTCTGCTTTACCTACGTAAAGATTACATCATTGCCACCAATGAAACGAACGACCTTAAATCAGTCAACTTACCAAATTTGAGAAAAATCAGTTGAAAATCTCAAAAAAAGCACAGAACTTCAAAAGCATCAAAATTTACAAAGAAATGTGACGAGGTCACCACTGAACCTAACCATAATTTTTTTGTAAAGGTTTGCGGTAAAAATGAGAACGAGCGAAGATCAGAGGCAGTCCTGCTTTGTTTCCGAAGTAAATTTTCGATTGGTATAGTTTCTATTAGACTCTTCAAAGCTGTTGTTTTCAGTAGTATAGTAGTGATTTTTCACTAACCACTCAATTTCGAGTGGCTAAGTTATCCGTAAAATCACCCCTGAAAAAAAGAAAAAATCAGTTATTTGTCAATTTGATTATTTTTAAGTCAAGAATTAAAATTCTTAATTCCTTGTTTGAAAAATAATATCTGTAATATTTTTATTTATTTTGTACAACATATTTTGATGCTAACAAATTTGTTTCTTCCTCAGAATTCAAAGAAGAAATAAAGGCTGAAATTAAATGTGAGCAACAAGAGTCATTTTGCACTTTGCCTCAAAAGCCATCTCACGATGTTGTCCACCGTCATGACGAAGTTTCGATGACACTTGACGAGATACGTCGACTAAAAGCAATGTATCC